CCGGAGTCGTAGGTAGCAGTGCACGGTGAGGGGAAGAATCAGCGCAGCGTGCACCCGAACCGCAAGCATTTTGGCCCGTGAGCTGCCTCGCGCGGCGTGCGTCGCAGCCACTGTACTTTTAGCCTTGACCCTGAGAAAAAATAATGCATTTGAGGGCAGAGGGGAGACAGCGCAGGGCAGGACCGCGGCAGCGCAGGAGAACGTCTGCCCAGGGAAGAGGTGCGTGCGGGAGGGCCGCTCCAGGCGCAGGGACGAGCGGTGCTACTGTGGGACACCGGCCCCCCCAGAAATCTCCACGAGAAAGGCACTGAAACCTTTATTGATTTCGATGGGTCCAGAACCCTACGACCATGATGTTTCGATTGCAAACCTCTGGGTCCCGACGACGCCCCACGGCGACCTGGAACAACACGGGTAGGATTTCTGAATGGGTATCCCCACCACCGTGCGGGAGAGTAGCCTGAAACTCTCTTGCTGAACACGGAGTGCATGGGACCAATTGGGTCATGGAACGGACGGGTGCTGTAGAATGGCAGGCTGACATGGTTCAAACAATATTGAATCCGACGCAAGCTTGACGCTGTGCTCTACCCTGTGGCGGGCCAATGACGTTTAGAACGTTGCTTGCCTAGACTCCCCCAAACTGGCGCCCCTAGATGATTCGCTAAAGTCGAGCTGGGACGTGAAAGGAAGAGCGGTGCTGACTGACAGAGGCCTTGCATGGGGGAACGCTACAGTCCAGCACATACTTAGCAACACGAGATGATCACCTGTTTCTGCAACGTTCACATGATAAGGCCCTTGGGGATGACTTCCCAAGATCTTTCTCTTCTGAGCCTTCACAACGCATCCAGGACATCACCCGCAGAATAGCACTCAGGGGGGGCTGTGCTGAGATGTAGTGACAGGGAACGACCGCTGGCAAGAGGTCAAGCAAGCTGGTTGGGAGGGGGAAACCTAAGCGAGTCAAATGACGACTACCGTGCGACCGACGATTGATGGAGTTCGCCCTGTAGTCAGGAGAAGACGAAAAGGATGGGAGAGAAGAGTTGGACGATGGCGAGGAGGTGCCGCCCGAGCTGGAGATGTGTGATCACCGCCTGCTGCTGCGATGACTTCGGCGGCTCAGCGCGAGGGCAGCCCGGTTGCGAAGTGACTCCAAAATCGTCCCCAGGCTCGTTCACGAAGACAACAGGAATGCCCCGTTGCACAACACAGCATCTCTCTCGGCGCGTGGCGTGTATAGACCACGCAGTGACTTAGAACCCCTGGCACAGCCAACCCTCGGTGTCGCAATGCTGTACAAAGACACACACACACACCCACGAACACTGCAAGGGGTCGCGTGAGCAGTGAAAAGTGGCCTCCGTGTACGGAGGCGTACGCGTGACTGCAACCCTCGGGAGCTGCCGCGCCGCAGCGGAGCCAACGAGAGCAGCCTGGGCGGGCGGGCGGGGCTCGAGAGGCACGAGCGACGGGGCCGGAGAGAAGCGAGCACCAGAAGCAGAAGACAGCGAGGCACGGCCGGCAGCAGCGAGAGGGCGGGCCAACGGCGAGGAGGGGGGGCACGAAGCGGCCGAGCAGAAAAACACCGGGCCGTGCCGCGCCGCCGCGGCGGGCAGCCGCAGAGAGAACCGACGCGGGTACTGAGCCAGGGCACGCTTCAGTCGGGTCCTACCTGGGACAGCAAGTGGGTGGACCGAGTGGGAAGCCATGCATAGAAAGAAGCGTGACACACACACACACACACACACACACACACAAAAACGCCAGAAAAGAAGGCAAGAAACACTTGCATCTGCGTGGTGCCTCGCTCCCGGGCACCCCGTGGTCGCGCGGGGGCAACTTCATCTGGCCAACGACCTCAGTGCCCAGCCGAGGCCATCCCCTTCTCTCCCGACCATGCCTGGATGTTGCCAACTGCAGCCCGCTCGGGGAAGGCCAAAATCATGAACGACCAGGCTAGCACTGTCTACGGATCATCCAAACAGGGCCCCATCCGCCCATCCCTTGCTCAGTCCTGGGATGACAGAGGACGCTGTGGATCCCCCTCCCACCCCGAGGCCCCGATGACTGGCTGGCATGACCGCCAGAAGAAGATCGACGGGGAAGGGTCCTAGATCGAGAAGGAGAGCGAGGGGGATGAGCAATGAAATGACGATGGTAGGGAAACAAAGCAATATCCGCCACCGTGCCTTCACCACGAAGTGGATTGTCCCGAGGCCCATCTGATCCATACAATTGAGCGTCGTAGAGGGACTGCCGTCTCGCTGTCGGCTTACTGGATCAGCTTGTGAAGTTCCGATCCGAGGGGCCTGGCCACCTGTGTGCCAAAAAAACCTGGACGTTCCTGGAGCCTCCCTCAAACACTGTTGAAGTCCTTCACAAACGCTGAGCCCGCGGCCATCAAATTCTCCGTCTCTGGCCAGTCGTGCGGCTTTGGGAAGAGCGCCTCGCTGTACGCCAAGATCGTGGGAACGGGCAAATCCTGGACGGATGGCGGGATTAGATTACAAGTAAGAGGCAAAGGAGAGGAACAATACCCATCGGTCAGACGAACTGGGTAGAGTCATAAAAGCAAGACGGCGTTGACAACAGACTGGCTTTTGCCCGTCCCCTGACGAGGAAGAGCATGATTGGCCCACGAATCTGGAGGGGAGTTTCAAAATTTTAGGCATGACAAAATTTGTAAGGCACCTGATGAGGCGACGGACAATTGCAATGCTGAGTGTTTCGGCCGCGATGTACTATGCCAAGCGCCAAGAGCTGTGCTGTACCGTGCTGAATTGAAATCTACCATGCCGGGATCGTGCTCTGTAGCGTTGTGGATCCTTAGCATCCGGATCCTAACCGAACTGACCTGGCTCTTAAGCTCGAGCTGCCTGAGCGCATAGCTGGCTGAAAGCGGGTTGCCGTCGGAACGTGCAGAATGCCCAACCAGCTCGAGCTCACGATCCGACTCGGCTCCGACACAGGGCGAGACGCTACGGGGCGCGGGGCGCACGGACGCGCCACAGGAGGTGCCAGGGGCGCGCCAAGGGATGCGCCAGGGAACGTGTCAAGGGGGACGTATGAAGGGGACGTGCCCTGGACGTGCCAGGCACCTGGCAGGGGCCGTGCCAAGGCGCGTGTCACGGGGCGTGCCCGAAGACGTCATGCCAGGGGAGGCCCCAAAGGACGCCCCAGGGGGCGTGGGGCGCGCCAGGGGACGTGGCGAGGGACGCGCCACAGAACAAGCAAGGGGAACACCAAGGAACGGAGCCCATGTACAAACACGTGGTGTCAGCCCGCGAACGAAGGAAACCGTGCAAACACACATAGCTTCAGCTCCAGCTCCTCCTCATCCTCCTCCTCCTCCTCCTCCTCCTCCTCCTCCTTCCCCTCCTCCTTCTCCTCCTCCTTTCCTCTCCCTCCTCCTCCTCCTCCTCCCCTCCTCCTCCTCCTCCTCCTCCTCCTCCTCCTCCTACCTCCTCCTCCTCCTCCTCCTCCTCCCCCCTCCCCTCCTCCTCCTCCTCCTCCTCCTCCTCCTCCTCCTCCTCCTCCTCCTCCACCCCTCCTCCTCCTCCTCCTCCTCCCCTCCTCCTCTCCTCCTCCTTTCCCCCCCTCCTCCTCATCTCCTCCTCCTCCTCCCTCCTCCTCCTCCTCCTCCTCCTCCTCCTCCTCCTCCTCCTCCTCCTCCTCCTCCTCCTCCCTCCTCCCTCCTCCCTCCCCTCCTCCTCCTCCTCCCTCCCTCCTCCCTCCTCCCTCTCCCTCCTCCCCTCCCTCCTCCTCCCTCCTCCCTCCTCCCTCCTCCCCTCCTCCTCCCTCCTCCCTCCTCCTCCCTCCTCCCTCCTCCCTCCTCCCTCATCCTCCTCCCTCCTCCTCCTCCCTCCTCCCTCCTCCCTCCTCCTCCCTCCCCTCCTCCTCTCTCCTCCTCCTCCCTCCTCCTCCTCCTGCTCCTGCTCTCTGCTCTGCTCCTGCTCCTGCTCCTGCTCCTCCTGCTCCTGCTCCTGCTCCTCCTCCTCCTCCTCCTCCTCTCCTCCTCCTCCTCCTCCCCCTCCCCTCCTCCTCCTCCTCCTCCGCCTCCTCCCCTCGTCCGCCTTCCTCCCCCCTCTTCTCCTCCTCGTACTACTGAGCTCCACCCCTCCTCCTCCTCCTCCTCCTCCTCCTCCTCCTCCTCCTCCTCCTCCTCAAGTCCTCCTCAAGTCCTCCTCCTCCTCCTCCTCCTCCTCCTCCTCCTCCTCCTCCTCCTCCTCCTCATGCTACTGGAGCTCCACAGGGTGGGGCCCCTGCTCGAAACTCCCCCGTCATTCACTCACGCGTGAAGCCCTCGCTCGAGATATCCTCAGATTGCTGCTCACGTTCGAAACACATCCGAAGTAAACAAATCACCTGGTTTTGGCCCAAAAGCGGAAAGAACCCACGTAAAAGGATCGACCCACGAACCCGGAAATTAACTTAGAAACGCGAGGCATGGCTACGTGTTTTTATCTAGACACCTGAGTGGGCAATGAGTGTTATTGCAATTGCAATTTCAATTGCAATTGCAATTACATGCAGTCTCTGTCCTGCAGCGCTGTTGCACAAGCACGGTTGCGGGGTTAGTCACAGGCAGCTGGATGCCTTCAGACGGACTCGAGAACCCACCATAAAGATCCAATCTCACAACAAAGAGGCCCCAAGACTGCCCGAGAACCCACCAAAACGTCCTTAAGCCCAGACGGCCCAAAGACCCAGCCAGGCGTTACCGAGATGGTTTGCTGAAGGGAAGTATAGCACATAAGACGGGTCCGACGGGCTCCAGGGAGGCTCCCAACTGGCCCCCGAGACGTCCCCAAGGGGGCTCCAATAGGTCCCCAAAAGGCGCCAAATTAAGCCGCCGACCTTTGGGCGAGTGTGAGACGCTGTCGTCGTCGTCGTCGTCGCCGTCGTCGTCGACATCGCCAGTCCCAAGAGAAAAAGAAACGAACAGAGAAAAGAGACGTCATAGTGAAGTCGATCCCCTCCCCCTTTTCCCCTCCTTGACGTGGTGGGTTACCGGGGGTTGGGGAGGGTACGGAGGGTGGTCCCGGGTGAGAGGATTGCCCCTCCCCCCCAGGGTCCTGGCGATTCACGCGGGGGGGCCCCCCGGAGTGGCAAGGGGACCACCCTCTCTGGGGGGGCGGGAGGTCCCGCCTGTGGTAGGGGGGGGTGGTCCCGGGTCTACACCATGGGGTCACGTCGGGTCCCAGGGGGGGGCGCCAGTGGGGGTCCCAGAGGAGGTCCTGCCTTCAGGGTCGGCGGCACCAGCCCAAAGGCCTTCACAACAGAAGTACCATTCTAAGATGCCTTCAAGAGGGTGAAAGAGTGAGAGATCGAGGCTGCAGACAAGGATGGAACTCTTGAGGCCCGCGCCTGGCAGAGTCTTGGCCACGCCGCTGAGAGCAAAGCACCCGGTGACTGCCTACCAGGCCACCCCGACCCAACCCGAAGACCCGAAGTTCGGGTTGCGGGGGGTTACGAGCTCCAGATGTGTTTTTGCTCCATGCTCCCCGACCCACCCACCCACCGGAAATCGAGCGGCGAGTCGGGGCCCTCGGGTCGGGTGGGGGTGGTTTCGTGGGCGGCGGCCTGGACAAACGAGCAGGCGCACCCTGGCAGACAAGAAGCCGATCGGGGAGGCGGCCCACTGCTTTTAGGTCGGGCATGTCCCCCTACAAGCGGATTTTCGACGAAAAACTAAAAATACCCCCCAAAATGCCCCCCAAAGGTTACACAAATAATAAAAAAATCGTCCCCAGACTATTTTTTGACTATTTTTGACTATTCCTCCTGTAGAGGGACAGGCCCGACTCAACAGCACTTGCAATCGCCACGCCGTCCTGCGGGTTGAAGAACACGTCCACACTGTGCTCGGGCGTCACCCCGTACCTCTTGGCGGCGCGCACCAGGGGTTGGAGGGAGGGGGGAGGGCTTCTTAGAAGGAGGCTGCTTCTTCGAAGTCGCCGCCCATACATCTGTAGATAAGGCCCGCGCCTTCTAAGAAGCAGGGGTGCTTCTAAGAAGCCCTCCCCCCTCCCACCACCACCCTCTTCGCGTGGCTGAACATCGGCGCGGGCGCCGCCAGCTGGACCGGAGGCGGGGGGGGGTGGATGGATGTGGCGGAAGCGACCGCCCAATGCGCCGCGCCCCTGTGTACGGAGCCGCAGGGGAGGCAACTGCCACTGGGGGGCTCTCGGAATCGACGACGCAGCAATCGTGCTACCATAAGGCACCCCAGAGAGGGAGCGAGGGGGCTCATCTGCCCACACGGTGAGCCTCGGCCACGAAGAGGTTCCTCGACCTAGGTCCAAGGAGCGGGTCGAAAGCCAGAGCCCCTCCCCCGAGCCCAAGGTGGTCCTGCTTTCGGCGCCTGGGCTGCACTTCGCCAGTAGATCGGCGCCCAGGCCCCGATAGGCGAGGAATAAAAAGTTTGTTGGGGACCGAAGCCTGTCACCCCTTCGCTCAGGAAATGGGGGAAAAAAACGCGGTCGAGGTACCGAGTGGAGGTTCCATGGAGCTGTGGAGCGATGGGCGCACAGCATGTGAGCCTGCACCTGCACTGCGTCGGCCGCGAAAGCCAAGCGAACAGGAGCATGATAGCATGATCGAGCAGAATTCCCAGCGAGCCTGTGAACTGCCTGTTGCTGGCCCAAGCCTCCGCTCACAAGAGTGGTCGCCACCCTGACTGCGAGCATGGTCGCGACTGAGGGCCGCGGCATCACATGGGACGCACGGAGACGTACTAGCGCTGTATGTCCTCCTTGGAGGCGCGCGTCCGACCCGAACATATAGTATACCCATCTTGTCGTACGTACTTTCCCGAGCGGTGTGGCCAGAAAGCGCCCGCCACGGCGCACATACTATTAGATTTCTCGGTGCGCGCGCCGCCCCTTGGGGGGGGCGAGGTACACATAGTATTAGTATGTTGAGGTGATGCCGATCACAAGGTGCAATTCAACATCTGCGCCTGACAAATGGAAAGAATCTACAACTGCGTGTGAGGCTAAGACACGTGGGGAGAACGAAAAGAATGAGGCGGAGCAATCGTACTTGCTCGGAGCCAGCGTGAAACATACTGGCTTTCCACGGTCATGTGGGGAATGGGTGAGCCCCACCCAACACCATGGCAACCCGTCGCCCGAATGCCGTCTTGAGCAACAAAGAACGCCGACTGAAAGGCGGAGAAGGAAGTGAATCCGGCAAGATGGGGGAGAGTGGGAAAGGGGTTCTCTTGAACATAACGGGGGCAAGACTACGGGTAGGGACACTGAACAAGGGAGGACGGGGAGGAGACAAGAGCACGGAAGAAGAAACGCGAAAGCAGGGGATAGCTGTAGGTCGGACATCTCCTCCTACAGGCGGCTCTTGGAAGACAACATCGAAAAGTAGTCAACAACTACTCCAGATTTCGTAATAAAAGGGAGGGGGTCTCAACCCTCCCAGACGAGAAGTTTTAGACCCCCCCCCTGGGAGAACCCTCCAAGACATCGTCCCCAGACTCCCCCAGGCCCTCCAAGATAGCTTGGAAAAGACCCCCCCCCGAAATGAGACCCCCCTCCCTTTATTACGAAATCTGGAATATCCGAGAGTAGTCAGAACAATCCTTGGAACATCGTCACCACACTGTCGTCTGGCTATTCTTGAGAGTTCCGCCTGCAGAGGGTGACTGCCTACCAGACCACCCCAACCCAACCCGAAGACCCGAATTTCGGGTTGGGGGGGGTACGGGCTTCATGTGTGTTTTTCCTATGTTCCCCGACTCCCCCCCCACTGGAAATGGAGGGCAAATCGGGGCCTTCGGGTTGGGTTGGGGTGGTTTGGTGGGCGGTGAGAGGGACAGGCCCGACTTTAAGGGCAGCTGGCGCATGCCGCAGCGCGCGACAAGACGGGAGCAGGCCGCTCGCCGCCCAGCTCCCCCCCCATCGCCCTCCTCCCCCGCCCCTGCTCGTGCTGCCGATCCTCGTGCCTCTCGACCTCGACGCCGAGGGCACTCGTCGTTCATGATCGCGGCCTCGAGGTCGTCCATCGAGGTTCCAGACTCCACGAGTTCCTGGGTCAGCCCATCGGCACTTCGGAGTCTGCCCTCCTTCCGCCTTCTCCTCCACCCGCTGTTCCCTCTTCCTCCCGCCATTGCTCTCTCCTCCAACACCCCCTGCCCCTTCGATCTCCGAGTTCGAACAACAAATAACTCGGCGGGGAAACTGGCACCGTCAGATCAACACGCCGGGTCATGTTCGAAGAACCCGCAATTCGCAACAATCACCCCGATCGAATGAACTTGGGCTGACAGACTTTGCGAATGGTTATTGGAAGTGCTGCACAAGTCTCACCATTCCGTACACGACGCCAACACAACCCTGACGAGCAAAAATGCCCGACCCACTCGCGGATCGCTACAGAGTGGGTCGTGCATGACGCCAAACACCCCATTGATATTGGCACCCCCGTATGGAGCATTGGAAACAACATAACAATCTATCTCCAACACTCGCTACTAGTGTTCCTGTTCGCGCGGAATCGGTTGCAAATGTGTGCGCCAGCCCCGATAACTTAGCATCGCCCTTAAGCTCGATAAGCCAGGACACTGGCTCGCCCGAGTAAGCTGCAGCCCCGGGCTGACAAAGTAGCCATCCCCATGCCCAGTGGATCTGGCAAAAAAAATCCTGGTCTGCAAACGCTCCTCCTCTCCTCCTCCCCGTCCTCCTCCTCCTCCTCCTCCTCCTCCTCCTCCTCCTCGTCCTCCTCCTCGTCCTCGTCCTCCTCCTTCACCTCGCTGGCTCAAGTCCTGATCACACCGCTGGAGATGCAGGACGACAGCACTGCCGCCCAGGGAAGGCCCTGGGCGCTGGGGCTCGAGCAGGCCCCCCACGGCCTTTTCGGAACCACGATCACGAAGCCTGCTTTCGCTCCCTTGCGCGAACCCGTGAGGCGCAGGGATCACAAGTCGCGATGGCCAAGCAGCAGAAGTACATCACTTGCAATCGCCGCGACTGTAAAGGCTGGGCTTGGTGTGCTACTGGTGCTAAGCATTGTGCTCAATGCGGCGGCCGTTTCAAGCAGCAGCAGCATAACCAGTCTGGAGGCACCCGCGGCAGTGCCGCCAGCAACCTCGGTGCCGCGGGCGAGACAGGACCAGGTCTCCAGCCTCCGCCTGAGCCGCACCGCGACAAGCCTGGCCGCTGGCGTGGACGTGACCGCTCTCGTGGGCCCAGTCACCCTCCAGGTCTCCGTCGGCCAAGCGCAGTCTCTTTCGCGGAAGGAGACGAATCGCAGCCACAAGCAGAAGATCCAGTGGCTTTGGCGCAGGTCACATTCTGGAAGAAGTGGAAGCCCAACGGTGAGGAGCACACCGCGGCGTTGGGCAAGCTCAAGCAGGCCAAGGCAACTATCTTGGCCTCGAAGTCGTTGGACCAGCAGGCACAACCTCTCTCGGACCAGATGGAGACCCAACGCCAGAAGTATAAGTCACAAACATAGGAACCCAAACAGCTCGTCTAAGTCACCCTGGACGCCAGCGATAGGCATTCCAAGCTCGCCACGGAGGCCAATAACACGCAGCAGGAGATCCAGAACCTCGAGAGCCAGTGCAATATGGCCAAGCAGGCTGCCATGCACGCGGCCACCAAGGACGAGGACCTATTATCGACCTTGCAGGGGGTTCTCGCGGCGCGCATGCCGCCTGGCAGCAGGGCGCCGCCCGACCTCTGCTCGAAGGTGGCCGAGCTCGCGACCTACTTCGACGACCTCACGGCTCAGCACGTGCAGTCCCAGGAGGCTGCGCCGAGGCCGTGGGTGGACAACGGCTTCCAGAGCGTCGGCGAGGCTCCTGAAGGAAAGCCCGCGACTGCCGCGGGCGACGCCGCCAGCGGCGACGCGCCGCCGACCCAGCCCACCGGCGCCGCCGCGGCGGCGGGCGCTGCGGCCACAGGCGAGAACGCAGCCTCCCGCTTCAACGGAGACCTCGCCGAGCGCGGCGGTAAACAGGAAGAGAGAGCGAGGA